TATATATATATATATATATATATATATATATATATATATATATATATATATATAATATTCGAACGACGTGAAAAAGTAAGTAGCTGAGGTGTATTGCTAAATAAAATTTCCGTGGAAATAGGCTTCGTCTATAAATCTACGGTATATTTCGAATTCACGTAAAATATATATAATTTGAATAATTCGAGATTTTGCCGATCATTACGCAAGATGACAATTACAAACGTGTTTCAAGATGACGCAAACTTTTCTTTTTAGACGATGTAGAGGAGCGTAGAAACTTGAAGTTTTATTTGTAGATCATCAGGCTATAATATTACTCGCTAATTTAGCTTAACTTTAAACGCGAAACAAGCGCCACTACTACTACTACTACTACTAATATGCAATGTGTATTACACGAATTACGATGATTTGTCATATACTCCGTTTACATTTAACGATTATTTTCTAAGAAAATTAGCGTATTATTTTATTAAACGATTTTCGACTCATATGGCACACAATTCTTCATTATATATTCTGTATCTTGTCATTATTATTAATCTTAATCATAAAGGAGGTTATATATATGATTGTTGATTTGTTTAATTATTATCTCTCCTCACGGAATATTATTCATTATCATGCAATATTTGTATCCACGATCAAATGTATCCCAAAATTCTAATACCTAGGAAACATCGATAATGATTTTATAACTTTACGGCTACATATAGCCGTAATAGAGTTGTATTTAGCATTTTTTAACAGATATCGGCAATAAAAAACAAAGAACGATGTAAATTTTTTAGTTTTCGATTAAAAAAATTAATCATCTAGCAATCTTCCTAAGAAAGTATACATCAAAAGTGTAAAATTATAACTGTTTTACTATTTTTTTTCTCATCTACAAGCATAATTCTTTGAATAATAATAAAAACATTAACATTTCTATAACTTTTTCTTGAATACGAAAATTAAATGGCATATTCATAAAATTTTCTTTTAAAATTATTAATTTTTTTTACATATAATTTTTATTTTTATTTAATATATATTTAATTTATTCGTGATGTCTAATTCAAATCTTTTTGTTCGATATTTAAAGAACAAAAAAAATATTCTTTTTAAATTTCGATAATTTTTTACTATGTGGCCAATAATCCTTAATGTTCCCAGAATGATTTATTTTAAAGACAATAGATATGCCATAATAAAATATAATAAAATTACTCAGAGAGATATAGATATAATTATTATATACCACATATGTTTATATACAAATATGTTTTATATCTATATGTTATATAGTAATTAATTCGGTGTTAATTGAATATTAATAGAATCTTTCAAAAGTGTAGAAGAGTCAAGAATATTAAAAATAAATAAGAGAAAAACAAAGGATTATAAAAATACTAAAAATATTGAAAATTCGAGATTTTATAGACAATATACTTTTATAAGACAGTAAAATAAACTTTTTATTATCCAAAATAAACTTTTGGATAGTAAAATAAATAAACTTTTTGGAAGTTATGTATCTTGAACTACATTCCAAAATCTTCTTTTTGAGAAAAATTTCATTCTATAGATCTTCGGTGATGAACAAAGGACTAACAAAAAATGCTTGTAAAGTTGTTGAACAATCAACGAGTAGAAGTTTTCTCGAAAATGACCATTTTGGAATGTGGCTCTAGTATTACCAGAAAAGCAAGAGGACAATTGGTCATCACGTTGCTACATCGCTATGTTGTCATATCGCCATATTGCCACATTGCCACATTGCCATATTGCCAAGTGCCATTCTATATATAGAAATCAAGAGGCTTGGAAGCATTTAATCGACCAATCAAAACAAAGAATTCTACCAATTAACCAATCAAAAAACGATTCAGAGTCCTTTCTATTTAGTGACACAGGCGACACATGTATCGTTTTGTCTTTACTCCTTTGATTTGTTTTTTGTAGTTGAATTAATGTACTTGTATTTAAAATAAATACGTATGTATGTAATAAATAGAAATGTTTGAAGTTTGACAAAAGCGAGATAAAATTTTAATATAAGAAATAAAAAACAAACCTTTTAGATACAACGAGTTACACTATACACTAGGTTAACTACAAAGAACAGACCACATGTTGTATTATTTGCACTTTGTACACTCGCGTTTCTCGCTTCTCCTTCCACCATCGCCTATATATATATATATATCTGTCTCGCTTTAAGTACCAAAAATGCTAGGGAATACAAGCAAGTGACAAGTGAGATAGAAGGTTGTCCACCCTGGAATACTGCTTTGGAATCGAGCATTTCCGGTACTCCTGGCTCATCGGACATTTTTCCTGACACGCGCAATGAAAGGAGGGCCATTTTGTTCGGAGGTACGACGTGGCGGCCGGATTGTCCGGCAATCCGAAATTCAATATGATTTTTCGTAAGTATCACGCAAATAGTCTCCATTTCTCATATAGTTGATCCCTCAACGACAATTCAAATCATATTATATGGAGAAAATGTAGAAACTCTCTGTACTTGGATGTAACGTGGTCGGTTTCTTGTACCGCGTGGCCAACGATTCTCATATTTTTGTGATATCAATAATTACGTTTTATTAATACAATGCGATAAAATTATATATTTATTGAGTCTAGTTTAGAATGATTGCAATGGTAAATTTTATTATCACTGTTCTTTGTTTAATCGTAATGTGATCGGATATGATTAAATGGAGTTTGGAATTTTTAAATATCTTTTGGAACGTATAATTCTATTACAACGTACAATTGATCAATTTTATATATATATATATGAATATATTTGTATTTATATATAGATAGTTTTTATAATTACTCGATTCATTAAAAAAATAAATTGTTATTAAAGTTTTACTTTATTCTGCATTTTATCAACAATCATTTTAATCTAATCTTTTGGTTATTTGCCATTGAATTTTAACTGGAATTTGTAATGGATTGTTTTTGAATTTGTTATCAGTGACTTTAAAATTTTTAAATTTTGAATTTTAAAAGATTAAGATTTTGTAGGACCTATTTTAGGCATCATTATTTATATAATCTTGATATTACTTACCTCTACAAAATAAATAACAATATCAATTTAATTTTTTAGCTGCTGTACTACCATTGGTATTGGTAGCATTATGTATACATTCTACATTCTCAGAAGTGACACAGTCAACAAATTCTTATTTGTCTACGGCTGATAAAAGACGTTTAAAGATCATCCTTGAATCAGGATTTCAGTTAGATGATGTACCATCAGTTTACTATGCCGTTAGTGGATATAAGCTCCTTGGAGAAGCTATATTAAAAACAGATGTAATTTCTTTTTATTTTACATATATTTTACACATATTACATATATTTTTAGAAATGTGCTATATGAATTATGATGAAAATTGCTAAATATTGAAATTCTGTGATTACAAGATTAGTCTTTCTGATATTTAATATATTTTTTATTTTGATATAATGTATCAAATGATTGAATAAATTATAAAATAGTGATTATTTGTTTAGGCCATCTGCAAATACTTGATACAACACAATGATGAAAATATCACACCTGAAACTGCATTTTATCTTGCGTCTACATGGAAAGCTATTGGAGGCTGTCAAGAATTTCCTACAAATACTGTTACAAAGGTGATATATATGAATGATTCAAATAATATCTTTAATATAGCATAATGATGTTTATAATAATAACTTTCGTATTACTGCATTAAAAATGAAGAAAATATAATTTCTGTATAAATATAAATATACATTGTATCTTTGTGCATAACACAATGTATTACATAATAAATATTTATTTGTACAGATATTGACAAATGTTATACAGAAGGATACATCTACACTTTCTGATTTATATTATGCAGTAAGTGGATTAACAGCTTTGTCACAAAAAATACCTTCTGCCAGAATCGACAAATTAGTGAAATTAATTCAAGCAGCTTTAAGAAAAGATGACAGTCTGTGGAAGTAAGTTATCATTATGTTATATTTATTACATTATATTCAAAACATTATATTTTACATATTAAATATTTGTACAAAATTATATTTAAAGATGTGAGATATATATTAGTAACTATATGATAATTATATGATGTTTGTAAAACTTTCGTTCTACTGAATATAAAGAATGAAGACAGTAAATTATCACTGAATAGAACATTAGAAAAATTATAAACTATTATTTTAATTATAGACATAGAGATTAATTCGATTTTATATTATTAGTTTGGGATATGTATTCCACATTGCTGCGGACTTAGGTACTCCAGCTGCATTTGCCTTTGAACGTATCGAAGATGCTGTTGTACAAGCTGATGAAGTGGATGGCCAATATCTGCAGTTTGAAGGCGGTCTTTCTATTACAAGTATAACATTTAATTCTTATCATTTATATACATAGTTTTAAGATAATTCATCTTTTTTTTTTTAAATTTAAAATAAACTTTTATAGGTTTCCTTATCAATGGTATTTTTAAATTATCAACCTCATTAAAAAAGAAACCGCCATTGAACTTTCAACAGACTGTTAAATTGGGCAATTATCTTCTCTCACGGCGTTCTGTGCAAACTACGAAGGGTGTTACGAATTTGCTATCTGCTTTAACTATCTTAGCAAATGATAGTTCTGAAAAGCCTGTTTGCATAACTTTAGCTGACGGTGGACTCATTATCTCCAATCAGCAACCATTAGTTACAGTCAAAGTTTGTGATATTCTTGGTCAAGCATTATCAACTGTGCCGAAAGTTGTTGCAAATTCCGCCACACGAGTGGGAGATGACGTCGTTATTCTCAGCAATGAGAACTTGCAACCATCAACAACAGACAAGTAAATATTGTTAAATGATTTTTACTGATGACTTTTACCCCAATACTTTACTGGATCAGCTTTACAATGTTGATTTCAGCTATACCTTGGGGTATAGCAACAATTGTTGAATAATCCCTTTAACCTTTTTTAAAATATAATTAAGGTTAAGAAATTCAACTTACAATATATATGCAAAATTTTCTATTATATTCTATTATATTTTTTAACATGAATAATATTCTGTTTGAAATATAGAACTCTATTCACAATGAATCTTATGAATGTGAAACCTGACCGTGGTTTTTACAAGGTATTGGTAACTGCAGCTTCAGTCACGAATACAATTACAGTCAAGGTTTTATCTGAAGCAGTACTGGATTATTTGGAGATTGGTACTGGAGATGCCGATCAAACTACTCAACCAAAACTTACAAGGTATTTTATGTATTAAATTATATATTTTTTAATTTTTTTCTTAAAAATACATTTATATTTCTTACTAATGATTTTCTGTAATTTTCAGAATAAATACAGAATCTTCCTCGGGCAAACTCGAACATAAAATAGAAGCTGATTCTCAGCAAAAGCTAGTCATGCGATTTTTATTGCGTGACTCTGCTAATAAGAAACCAATGCGCGTACATCAAGCTTTCGTACGCCTTATATCAGTTTCTACGTCTTCTGATGACAAGCGAGGTCATGAAATCTTTTTCGTCGCCGAACCTGATGCTGCTCATGTTTATAAATTTGATATGGTAATTTTATGTTGTGTACTTTTTTGATTTTTAAGCATGATTTCTTTATGTGAAGAATTAAAATTTTATCTAATACGAATACGTTGTACGTCCTTTCGATGTTACAATTTTGTAAACATTTCAGCCAGTTGGAACAGCAGCTGCAAATTTTGGACATCAAAGCGGAGACTATAACATGGAGTTAATCATCGGTGATGCAGTAATCAGCAATCCATTCCGATTTAATATTGGTACAGTAACTCTGAAATTTCCCGAGCCGACTTTAACGGAGGGTGCTGATAAGACTACTTACAAACAAAAACCGAATGTGTATACTACTAAACCAGAAATAAAGGTATCTTTTTCTAGACATATATACATAATATATGCCAATGCTCGTTAGTGTCAAAGATTCATTGATAATTTTGTCACTTCCAAAACATTGGCAAAGAATTACGTCAGAGTTAATTAGCAAGTTCGCAAAGGTAGCATTTGCGCAATAATTTTTACGCTTTGACGAACACTGATCTCTATTCCAAAAAATCACACTTACTAAAATATTTCTTTAAAAATTTGTGTTATTTTTTTTTTAATTTCAGCACATGTTCCGCGAGCCTGAACGTAGACCTCCGGCATTTGTGTCGAATTTATTCACAGGGTTATGTTTGGCACCAATTTTGTTATTACTGATACTATGGGCTCGACTTGGTGTCAACATATCGAATTTCCCCTTGTCACTTAGCGCAATTACATTCCACCTTGGATTAGGAAGTAAGTATCAATTTTCTAAAAGATATTTAACATATAGCTAAACTGTAGATTTTTATATATGCATATCTTATAAACAATTAGAAGATAAAAAGGAAATAGTATTTTCTTAACATATGAACAAGTATCTATTCAACTATTGGTATATTTTTAAAGTCATTTTAAGAAAAGATTTCCATAACAAAATGTTGAAGTTTTATAATAGTTTTTAAATTAAAAATCTTTAAAGTTAATCGAACTGTTTGATATTTATACGATCAAGCATGGCATATTACATAATTTATCAAAATAAATTTTTTTTTATTTAATCATTAAATTATTAATTAATATAATTCAAAATACTGTGATACATAAAAAATACATATATTATTTATGCCCGATATTGCTTGACAGATGATGTTACATAGTCGATCTGTTTTCATTGGGCGTATATTAAATTGTGATAATTTATTTAAATGTGATTACATTTTTATATCACATGTATTTAAATCGTTACAAACATTAATTATACTTGCTACATTGAGAAAGAAAGAATAGAAAGAAAGAGAAGTATCGCTATAATATCACAGTACAAATAATTATAATTATTTTTTTTTAGGCATCTTTGTGCTGTTTGGTATTTTCTGGTTGAAGCTCAATATGTTTGTCACGTTGCGATATCTTCTTGGTTTTGGCGTTGTAACATTCCTTGCTGGTAATAAAATGCTATCTCAAATAGCACAAAGACATAAATCACAACGTTAACTTAGACTTGTTTGTGTGAAAACTATGAGTGTCGCAGTTCAAAATACATAATAAATAAAAGACTGCTGCTAGGTTCAAAGTGATTGATTAATACGTGAACATGATAGAAACTTTATGTTGTGCTGTTTTTTTTTCACTTGTCATAAATGTATATAAATCACGAAATATGTGCCTCGTTTATTTTGTTTCTTATATCTTTTTATGGTCTGGTTTGTTTAATAATAATTAAATACAGCTTATATTTTATATCTTATACTCTTGTATTGATAAATTAGAATCGTAATTCTAGATTGTAAATATAAGCTTGAGCTATAAAATTTGATATATTTGTTAAACTATCTTTATTTGTAATGTTACATTTTATACAAATATAGTGAAAGATTATATACAATGCTGACAACGGCAAATAAAGAATGCTGAAGTCTTTTGTGTTTAAAAGAAATAATAATACTTTTTAATTAAAAGTATTTAAAATAATTTTAAATGTAATAAAAATTGCTATGATAGTTGCAATTATTTATTGTGATATATTTTACCTATATTAAAATATGCGATTTATTTTTTAAAGAAGTTATTAAATTCTGTCTTTTTTTTTATTTTTTTTCCATCATGTAAGAACTGATACATTTGCGCAAGTGGTTTGTCTCGAGTTTCAACTTATCTTTTTCCGATTGTAATTGCATAATAGCTATTTGCACAAAATTGAATCGTCGCCAAAAATTTGTCAGATCTTGAAAGTCTTCTATAATCTATTATTAAGCACATTCTTTTCAAAATTCAACAAATCTATTTATATAACATATTTGTGTATATATGCCACGAGCAATATAGATATTCCACGAAAGAATGCATGTTGCGCAGGCCATGTTATTTGTCAACTAATAGGAACATGATGTACAAACAAATTTTATAAATATTTCTATTAAAAGTGGACAGAGAAAACAAACTTATATTGTATATGATATATCCATGTTTATGTCATGTTAAATTTTATTTGAATAAAAATGTGACAAATCTGCACGACCACTGCTTTTTTTCGAAATATCTATATTAATTAAATTATGGTATAATATATATGCATACATTATTGGATTTCACGATTACTGCGTTATGCATACTGAAAAAAACTGAGAATAATACTAACCTGACAGAACATATCCCAGTCTAATGAAGCAGAGACTTGATGTGACGAGAGAGTTGACGAGCTTTTCTCTTCTGTACAATCAACAAACGGAATTTCTTTCTCATTCTGCATGTCGTACTTACGACAGATATGCATCAGCGCAAACAGTTGTTTGCCTTTAGTTACAAGACTCTCTAAATGTTTTATAGTCTTGTTATATTCAATTGACATTGTTTTTAATTGATTCTTATCTTTTGTCAGTTCTGAAATTAATTTATATATTTTTATATTATATTGTCACAGTTTATATCAATTATTATGATATTTTAACTTAACAAAATGAATAGAATAAAAAGTAATATTTAACAACATTATTGTACAGTTTTTTATACATTTAGAAATTAAAACATACATGAATATTTAATTATTAAAAGATATTATTAAAAGATCAATTTTATAAATTATCATTGAAAATTGAATGAAGAATCTGACAGGAATCTAAATACACCTAAGAGGAGATTATTTTTTACGGTCCAGAAAGCATTTTGGAAAAAGTCATGTTCCATCAGAATTTCGGAAATTTCTTTCTTAGCCGTGACGTCATACGTCATTATTTTATTTCGAAACTTTTGTATCTCTTCAAAAAGACTTGTAATACGCAATAATTGTTGTGCTATTACTTGCTGATCTTTTGTGTCCTTCTCTTTGAGTGTCTCGTAACATTTTCGACGATCCTTCGTTTCTAGAATGATGTCATCTTGACTAATATTAACTTGTCTATTGAATGTGATCCTAGCATAAAACTAATTTGCATTTAATAAATGAGCAGTTGCCTATTTGTAGATAGAGTTCTATTCCAGAAAGATAAATTCCTCAACATATACATATTTATAAGATACATCTAGGATTAAATCTTGCTATGTGTGTGCTATGTGTAGTCTACACACACACACACACACGCACGTACGCACTCGTCAGTATTGGAATACTTCACTTAAAAATAATATTTAAAACTAATATTTGTTTACTGTTTTGATAATCCGATAGAACTTGTTGAAGATTTTCCCAAGAATTTTGTAGTTGATTGTCCAATTGTGCCGCAAAAGTTCTACGCATATCCTTATTATCTTCTACGAATGCATCAATCTTACCTTCCAAAAAAATATGAATTATTTCCATATCGATAAAAAATTTATTTTCAAATAATAAATTTAAATAAAATTTGTATACTGTAAATTGAGTAAAACATTGTATACTGACTATTATATATTTTATTTCAAAAATATAATTTCATCTAAAATTTATTTTAAATAGATTAAGTAAATCATTAATATATGACCTATTGTTATTAACATGTTGATATGTTAAACTCAATTAAATTTCACTTTCTAAATTATTTTTAAGATTAAACAGAAAAATTCCAAGTCTGATGAAATAAATATTATAATATGTAATGTAAAACAAAATAAAGATTTGTATTTTTCAATATAATTCTTAATGAATAAGTATATAGAGTGTTGCTCGCTAAGCTCGGAATCTTTTTGTTCAACATACACACATACATACACACACGCGCGCGCGCGCGCGCGTGCGTATATATAATTATCATGTAGAATTTGTAACAATAAAAGTTCTGATAATATAAAATTATAATACAAAATTAGCGGTTTACTTAACGCAATGCTTTTAGTATTGTTCAACGAATCTTCCAACTGTAGCTGAACGTTACGAGTAATTGATTGTAACAAAATTTCAGCTTCATTCTGTTCATGATAAATTTTATTAATTTCACCATTCATTTGTTTAAGCGTCTCGTTTAAGATTCTTTGATAATTTCGTTTTTCGCATTCTATTCTCTCTGTATATGAATTTAATAATCGATCTATAATTTCAATATGTGATCTTGCATTTCTTTGATATTGTTCTTCGGCCTCGGCTAACTCATCCATTAAAAAGCTTATCCTAGAGAAAGTTGGATAATCATAAAGATATTTTTAAAATGTATGTAAATTTTTCCTATAAAAAATATTCAAATTTTCATTGAAAACATTAAAATTAAAATCTTTTTTTTGAAGATTTATATTATTAATCTTCTTCTCTCGAAAATTTATTCTTCTCTCGATGTTGTTTCCTTTATAAAATAATACAAATTAATACAAATTAAAAATAATACAAATTAATTAAAATAATAAAAATACCTAAGTTTTCAGCAACAAAATGTTAAAATTGCTATTTTTTTCTTAAACGCTAAAAACTTTTTAGTTATTAATCTGTTTATATTTTTCTATTGACTTTTTTTACAAAAATATTACAAATTAATTATACACACACACACACACACACACACACTATACTAGTTTTAAATTATAATTAAAAATTATACTAATAAAATAAATGCAATATACATAGTGAAACAATTACAAAA